CTTTTTGTAGAAAGAATCCAAGGTTGCCTGATTTCCTACTTGCAGTTTTGCATGTAAAGTTTCATAGCATGCCAAAGAATCTCTTAACATTTGTGCTGACTTTTCAGAAGTCCAAAAGAATGTCGTGTTTCTGGATAATGTAGTTTCGAAATGGTGAAACAGATTTCTTAGAACAGGACCTAATGAAGTGCCTCTATTGAGAAGAATCATCCTTCAATTCCATACTTTCTTTTGAAGACAAATGCTTAACTGATTCAGCAAGATGTTCATTGCTTAGAGACATACTATGTGTCTCCAATAGCTCATTGACGTCATTTTCTCCTTTTTGGAAGCCCACTTCCTTTTGCTAGTTGAACGATTTCACCACGTACGTCTCTGCACCCCTCAAAGGAATGCACAACATCAGGATATGTTTTCTTCTATGAACCATTCATTGTGATTCAAGATTTTGTTCCAAGAAGAGCCAGCCAGTAATGCTGAACATCTTCCCAGAATTCCTGGTCTATGAATTTGATGTTGTCATCAGGTTCGTGTATCAGCTTGTGGAATGTCTTCCTCAAATGATAACCTTTGAAGCATGCAATAATACCATTGTCCATAGGCTGCATTAACAATGTTGTCCTTGGCAGTATAAACAGAACTTTTGATATTTGAATGCAACTGTTTGAAATCCAGGTCGTGGGCATGAGCGTTATGTAACATAAAATAAGTCTTGAAAGGAAGATTATTTCCCTCACTGTACTTTTTAATTTCTGGCACAAAATAATTAACCAACCACTCACGGAAGATATGCCTCATTATCTAGGCCGTACGCCGAGCTTTCCATCTTGGAGGAAGCTGGGATTTTAGTATTTTTCAGCACCTGTGGATTTTCATTCCTGTACATGAACAATGGCTTAAATTTCGTATTGCCGTCAGTGTTGCATCCTACAAGCAGAGTTAGCTGATGCTTTGAGATCTTGAAGGCAGGAGCAGTCGTCTTGCTTACAGAAATGTCCTAGATCCAATACAACCCAATTTCATCAGTGTTAAACACTGGCTAGGATCATAGCTGCGCTCGACGATTTTCTTAAGTTTTACTAGAAACACTTCTGCAGAATTTAGAATAGATTTTATTTTAATAGTCACTTCTGCAGGATCACAGGTCTACAGTAAAAAGTGTACAAAGCCATGATTCTATGGCACCATCTTAAAATACAAAATACAAAACCAGAATTTAAAAAAAAGTAAAAGGCACAGAGCCCAAGATAAAGAAAAATGCCCTGATCTTAAACTCCTTGTCTGAAAGGAAAGGAAAAAATTCCAGATTTTAAAATTTTATCCCCCTGGGCTAGCCCTGGACTGGGGTATGCTCCATCGATTACCTTTGTCACTGCTGCCACCGATTGTCAGGAGGGGCCGCTGCTGCCTTTCTGACTGCCACTGCTGCCTCCAATCTGCCACATGTGCATGGGAGATCAGGCCCACACTCGCCCTGCCAAAGACACAGACCAAGACTTTTAAAGAGAGGGGAGGAAGGAAAAAGAGCGAAAGTAACAAGAAACAAAGCAGATGAATGAGCTCCAAACTCAGCGCTGCTACTCTGCTGCCATCTTGATAATTTCCATTTGCACCAGCTGATTCTCCAAGCATTTTAACATACAAATTTCAGACATGATATAGTTCTAACTCGAGGGCAGCCTTGAAAGGTTTCTCTCTCAATGTTTCTTCCTCTCCCATGTCCTTTTTCAGGTCCTCATACAAGCTTAGGATCTTCTCCTGAATGGAGGTTAAGTTAATCAGAGCATTCTTGTTATGCAGATTGCTGGCATCATGGGTTAATGATCATTTCATGTTTTTTTTTCTAATAACATGTCTTTGCCTTGTTATTTTAACCTCTGGATGATTTAGAAGATCCTTAGCTTTATATTCTATTTCATCAGCATTTTTTACACTTGTATATACACTTGTTGGAGGAAGATTCAAACAGCACCCAATATCAATCGTATGTTCACTTCTCTTCACTTTATCACTTCTATTTTAACACCTGGCATAATACTGCAACATGTTTTCTTAGCGCTGCACCTTCTATCTTTACCCATTGTTGAAGGGTTGTGACAATCAACTACAACGAACACTCCCTAAGGTAGCGGCTTAGACATAAGTTAATTTGCATCTTGTTCCACAAACTGGCAGTGACATGTGTGGGACCAATATATATTGTGACAATATATTATCACGGGCAATGTGTGAAGGACAACGTTCCATTTGCCTTCCCTATTCCCTGCTGAACTGTAGGTTTCTGCAGTCTTACTCCATTTAAATAATATTCAGCTCCTCTATTCTTCCTGCCAAAGTGCATAATCTCACATTTTGCCATATGATAATCCATCTGCCTGGTTTTTGCCCACTTGCTCAACCTGTTACTTTTTTTTTATTAACTCCTCATTCTCGCCCTAAAGGACCAATTCTCACTTTACTTTTCACTCACTTAGATATCTGCAGAAACTCTGCATCCAGTGAGCTTCCTTTCTTTATTCTAATTTATTTATCCTGATTAACCATTTAGTTATTCTGTTATTCTTTGTAGTCTGCCCATCGTCTGACTTGCTCACTCCCCTTGTGCAATTATATGCTTCGTCCTTAAGTTTGATTTTCTCCTTAACCTCTTTAGTTAAATGTATGGATAGTCAGCCCTCGTCTTCAAAATATACTTCTGCGTATTCTGAAATATCCCTTTAAATGGCTGCTACTCTCCTAACTTAACATTCCAATTCTCTTCATCTTGCTCAGCTTTCATACCCATATGTTGCTTTTATTTATGTTTATAATAATACTTTTCAAACTGGGCATTATTTCATCCGTATTTTGATCATTGTTACCTAGAAGTGCCTTTCTCTGAGGTCATTAAGTAAACCTGTCACATTACACTATCCACTCTAGTGCAGCCTGCTTTCTTGTTGATAACATGCTGCTCTAAGAAACTGTCTCAAAAGCGTTCTGAAGTTATCAGGCTACTATTACCAAGTTGATTTTTCCAGTTTGAGTAGATTAACATCACCCTTGATTATTGCCATTGCCTTATCAAAAGTACCGAGTATTCTTTCAACCTGAGATAGTAGGAACTGCAGATGCTGGAGAATCTGAGATAACAAGGTGTGGAGCTGGATGAACACAGCAGGCCAAGCAGCATCAGAGCAGCAGGAAGGCTGACGTTTCGGGCCTAGACCTCATTCTTTCAACCTGAGTAGTTTTTAAATCTTTCCAGCAGAAATGCTAAGGTAAATGACTCCTTGCTGTCCTTGTGCTGGTTACTCCCATTACTGATGCCAGTCTTGAGCCAACTCAGTTCATTCCATTTTGTTTAAGCATCTGAGTATATTGCCCTCAGCTGTTGCTATGTCCATTAACAAGATCCTGGCTGCAAAGTCCTGTATTTCAGAACCAACATCACCTTTTGCCAAGTTGTATGTCGGCCGTTTAATCCTCTAGCTTAATTGTTCTAGTACAATAATGACACTGAGCAGGTGAGACAGGTTCATCCAACCCTATTGCCTTAATTATCATACAGTCACATAACAGCGAAACAGACCCTTCGGTGAAACGCTGACCATGTTCCCAAATTAAACTAGTCCCACTTGCCTGCTTTTGGCCCATATCATACCAAACCTTTTCTATTGGTGTACTTATCTAAATGTCTGTTAAATGTTGTAACTACCTGCATCTACCACTTCCTCTGGCAGTTCATTACACACACGAATCACTGTTTTTAAAAAAAGTGTTGCCGCTCATGTCCTTTTTAAAACTTTCTCCTCTCACCTTAAAAATATGCCCCCTAGTTTTGAACTACCCCACCCAAGGCTAAAGACCCTTGTTATTCATCTTAGCTATACCCGTCATGATTTTATAAAACTCGAAGGTCGCCCTTCAACCTCCTATATGCTCTGATGGGGAAAAATGTCCCAGCCTATTTTTTATAACTCAAACCCACCATTTCCAACAACATCCTAGTAAATCTTTTTTCTGCAACCTTTCAAATGTAACAACATCTTTCCTATAGCAGGGAAATCGGAATTGAATACGATGTTCCAAAAGAGGCCTAACCAATGTCCTGTACAGCTATCACATGACACAGCAACTCTTCTACTTAATGCATGACTATTACAGCAAGTGTACCAAGCACCACCTTCACTACCATGTCTACCTTCAAGGAACTATGAACCTGCACTCCAAGGTCTCTTAGTTCAGTATCAATCCCCAGGATCCCACCATTAAGTGTATAAGTTCTGCCCTCATTTGCCTTGCAAAAATGCAACACCTGACATTTATCCAAATTAAGGTCCATCTGCCACCCCTCAGCCCATCTGATCAAAGTCCAGTTGTACTCTAAGACAACCTTTTTCACTGTCCACTACACCACCAATTTTTGTGTGATCCGCAAACTTACTAACCATGCCTCCATATTCTCATCCATATTGTTTATGGGAGTTGTAAGGTCATGTTGCGGCTGTACAGGATAATGGTTTAGCCCCTTTTGGAGACTTGCGTGCAACTCTGGTCTCCCTGCTACAGGAAGGATGTTGTGAAACTAGGTTTCACAAGGATTCAGAAAAGATTTGCGAGGATGTTGCCAGGTTTGGAGGGGTTGAATTACAGGGAGAGGCTGAATAGGCTGGGGCTATTTTCCCTGGAGCATTAGAGGCTGAGGGGTGACCTTAGAGAGGTTTATAAAATCATGAGGGGCATGTATACGGTAAATGGACAAGGTCTTTTCCCCAGGTTAGGGGGAGTACAAAACTAGAGGGCATAGGTTTAAGGTGAGAGGGGAAAGATTTAAAAGGGACATAAGGGCAACTTTTTCACGCAGAAGGTGGTGTGTGTATGAAATGAGCTGCCAGAGGAAGTGGTGGAGGCTGGTACAATTACGACATTTAAAAGGCACCTGGATGGTTACATGAATAGGAAGGGTTTAGAGGGTTATGGGCCAAATGCTGGCAAATGGGACTAGATGTATATAGGCTATCTGGTCGGCATGGACGAGTCGGACCGAAGGGTCTGTTTCCGTGCTGAATGTCTGGCTGTATGACTTTGTGAGTGACAAACACAAGTCGACCCAGTACCGATCCCTGTGGAACGCCACTGGTCGCAGGTCTCCAGTCTGAAAAACAACACTCCACCACCACCACCCTTTGTTGTCTACCGTCAAGCCAATTTTGTATCCAATTGGCAAGGTCACCTTGGACTCAATGTGATGTAACTTTACTAATTAGGCTACCTTGTTGAAGACTTTACTGAAGTCCATATACATCACTCTCCCTTCATTGTTCAAAAAAAAAACTCAGTCAAGTTTGAGACACAAATTTATCTTCCACAAAACCATGCTGACTATCCCTAATCATTCCCTGCCTCTGCCAAGGCTCTCATTTCCCTCTTTGCCCTTCTGACTTCCTTCTTAAGAATGTCCCTGCACTTTTTATGCTGTTCATTCTTTATACTCTTCTACTTTGGGAAGGCGATGGCCTAGTGGTATTATCGTTGGATCGTTAAACCTATTGACCCAGATAGTGTTCTGGGGACCTGGGTTCAATTCTTGCCACGGCAGAAGGTGGAATTTGAATTTAATAAATATCTGGGATGAAGAGTCTAATTATGATCATGAATCCATTGCCGATTGTTGTAAAAACCCATCTGGTTCACTAATGGTCCTTTAGGAAAGGAAAATGCCATCCTCACCTGGTCTGCCCTATGTGAGTCCAGACCCACAGCAATGTGGTTGACTCTGAACAGCCCTTGGGCAAATAGGAATGGGCAATAAATGCTGCCTAGCTAGTGATACCCTCATCCCGCGAATGAGTAAAAAAAGTTTATTTAATCCCAGTCGTCTGTATCTAATGTATGACTCATTGTTCTTCTTGACAAGAACCTCAATATCTGTCATCCATTGTTTGTTACTCTTATTAGCTTTACCCTTCACTCTAACAGGAACATAATGCCTCTGAACTCTCATTATCAAGCTTTTGAAAGCCTCCCTCTGGTCAATGGTCCCTTTACCTGCGAACAATCTACTCCAATCAACTTTTGAAAGTTCTTGTCTTATACCATTAAAATTTTCCTTACTCCAATTAAGAACTTTAACTTGTACGGAAGTCTTATCCTTTTCCATAGCTACTTTCAAACAGATAGAATTATGATCACTAGTCTCCACGTGTTCCACTACTAACGCTTAAGTCATTTGCTTTGCCTTGCCTTATTTCCCAAGAGAAGGTCAAACATTGCACCTTCCCTCGTCGATACATTTACATACTAATAGAAAAATTTTTCTTGAACATATTTAACAAATCCTCACCTTCCAAGTCTTTAATACAATGGCAGTCTCAGTCAATACATGGAAAAATTAAAATCCCCTACTTTTACAACCCTATTATTCTTAAATATTTCTGAGATCTCCCTTCTACATTCCTGCCCACCCCGATAATCTTTCACCCCTCGCTTAACAAGAATGTATTCATTTCTACATTATAAATATTTATGGATTTTGCTTCCACCAACTTTTCAGGAAGTGTCCCAAAGACATTCCACTCTCTTGAGAGAGAATTTCACATCATTTCTGTTTTAAATGGGCGTCCCCTGTTTTTTTCAAAATAAAGATACCTTGTTCTCGTTCTCCTGGAAGGAGATACGTTACACATCTACTGTCAAGACCCCTTAAGGTTATATGTTTCAATCAAGTCACCTCTTATTCTTCTATACTCCAGCAAATGCAAATGTAGTCTGTCTAACCTCCTCATTACGCAGCCCATTAATTCCAGGAATTGGTTTGGTGGGTGTTTGGAGAAGAAATTCCGCTGTATCTGTGGATTGTTTACTGATTATTTTGTAATGTTATTATTTTTAACTTGAATCTAATATGGTTATTAAGGCAATTGCTATGGACAAAGCAGAGTTGTGACATTGTGGATTTGAAAGAGGCTGAGTCTAACCAGATTCCAAAGCATTTTTAAAAAAAACTGACACAAAACAGAAATTGCTGGTGAAACTCAGCAAGTCTGGTAACATCTATGGAGAAAGAGAGCAGAGTCAAGATTCTGAGTTCAGTGACCCTTGTCTGAGCTAAAAGCCTGCTGATTATACAGCTATTCTCTCACTTGTCAGTCGAATATTGAGATAGCTGCCCAGGTATGTGAAGACTCTTGAAATACAGAAGTTCGCAAACATAAAACAGAGATGTGAGAATTCAAGCTTTGGAGAAAAACACCAGATGGGAGGAAGAGCTTCACTGATTTGGCACAATTTACTTATTTGCTCTATGGATTCTGTGATTCTTCAAAATTAGTATACCACCATCTTGAACTTTGAGCTATACAAAGAAACCTGGTTGAACAGCCAGCATGCAAAAGTCCCAAGAAGGCAGCTTTGAGAACCAACCTCTGAAGGGGGTGTTTTGATCAAGGGAGGACAAAGGAAAAAGGTCTGGCAGTGTGAAAGTCCTAAAGCCACAGAACTTGAGAGCCATCTTCTGTCCATCCCAATATCTGCTGTCCTACTGTTTCACCTGTACAAGAAAACACCAACTGTCCAATTTCTGAAGCCATCACAGCTGCTGGATCTGACTTTGTTAATCTCTTGCTTCAGCATCAAGGAATTCAATCAATGGACCCAAACGGTACACCATGAAGATTCATTGGGACTTTATTATAAGTAATCTTGTCTCATTTGTATTAGTTTTAATATTGGTAACTGTAATTTCTTGTTAGTGACTTAATTGCTTTATTTCCAAAGAGTCTTGAGTAATAACTTATTATGAACTAGCCTCTAAGCTGTTTAAACAATGCCTTATTGCTGGTCTGCTTCATCTTGAATCATTGTAAGACAAAAGGAGACTACACAAGCTGTATTAATTTACAGTTCACCGATCAGGTGGCGAACGTGCCTGGCTGTCGTGACACATAATAATAATTAGTCTAATTGCAAATATTTTCCCTTTTATTGAAGTTACGTCCTCTATTCCAGACCTTCTGTCCTTCCAGTCACTGTGTGTGACTCCTGTGTAACTGCCTTCCCCTACGTGCAAATATGCCTATTGATCCTAAACTAAGTACGTGTGCTGCACTTATACTACGTATTTTTCACAACAACTTTTTAATCAGCTTGCACCGCACATGTCTCTCCAGAATATCTCCCCGACTAAGTGTATCTTTTGGCTTGTGTCTGTCCTTTTATCTGTATTGCCAAGTGTATCTCATTCTGTACATGTACATGTAAACCTTTATCTCGTTTTTTTTCTGTCTTGATATATCTCTCATATGTCTGTTTGCCCACATAATTTTCTTTCTTTTTGCATCTATCTGTTCGTTCTCTCTCTGACTCGGAGCAGAGTCATACAAAACTCGCTTGGTCATGGAAGACAGAGGGTAGCAGTGGGAAGGGTATTTTTTCAGACTGGAGATCAGTAACTCGTGGTGTTCCACAGGGATCAGTTGCAGGTCCTCTGTTGTTCGTAGTATATATAAATGAGCTGGAGGAAAATGTGGGTGGTCTAATTAGCAAGTTTGCAGATGACACGAAGATCGGTGGAGTTGCTGATAGTCCCAATGATTGTGAAAGGATACAACAGGATATAGATAGTTGACTTGGGCATAGAAGTGGCAGATAGTGTTTAATCCAAACAAATGCGAGGTGATGCATTTTGGAGGATCAAATTTAGGTGTGAATTATACTGTAAATGGCAGAAGCCTTAGGAATATTAACATATAGGTGGATCTGGGCAGAAGTGGCAACACAGGTGGCCAAGGTGATTAAGAAAGCATATGACATGCTTGCCTTAATTGACCAGGGCATGGAGTACAAGAATTGGTCAACCATGTTGCAGCTATATAAAACCCTTGATGGGCCGCATTTGGAGTATTGTTTGCGGTATTGGATGTTGCACTACCAGAAGGACATCGAAGTTTTGGAGAGAGTGTAGAGAAGGTTCACCATGATGTTGCCTGTTTTCTAGGGCATTGGCTGTGAGGAAAGGCTAAAAAGACTAGGATTGCTTTCACTTGAAAGATGGCAGCTGAGAGGAGACCTGATAGAGGTTTACAAAATTATGGGAGACATAGATAGAGTGGATAGTTAGAGGTTTTTCCCAGGGTTGAAGTTTGAATTACAAAGGGGTACAGGCTCAAAGTGAGAGGGGTATAGAGATAGAGGCATGCCAGGGAATTCCTGGAAGCCTGGCATTCCAACCGGAACTCCATCAACAGACACATTGAACTGAACGCAATTATACCAACCACTGAAAAACAGAACCGGAAGTGATGCCTACCATCCCAGCAAACCGAGGCATATAAATATCAAGCGGGACAGAACACCAATGCTTCACCGGAGGCGCACGGATGGTGTTACCTAGCAGGGTGACGAAACATCTGCAATCAAACACACTGGCTCAGTGAGCAAGTCTACAACCTCATCCACAACTCGAGCTACAAATATTCTCAAAAACTTTAAGCCATATTCCCTTGTAATCCCCTTATCCCTGATATCACCAGTAACTAGGAATCTCAATTTTGAAATTAATTAATGACAATTTCCACAGCCCACTGTGGTAGAGGTTCCAAAGATTCACCATCGCCCTGAGAAGAAGTTCCTTCTTGTGTCAGTCTTAAATGAAACTTTTTATCCTGAGACTGTGTTCTCTGGTTCTAGACTCCACAATCAGGGAAAATAGTTTATCTATCCTTAGTTTGTCTATTCCTTTAAGAATTTAAGTTTAAATCAGATTACTATTTGTTCTTAAGTCTGGAAAATAGAGGCCAGTTTACTGAATTTCTGATCACAGGACAGTCCCACCATCCCAGGAATCAGTCTAGTAAACTCTGCTGCACCCTATCTTTGGCAAATGCATTCTTTCTCAGACCAGCGGAACAGAACTGCATCAAATACTCCAAATGTGATCTCACCAGCCTTCTATACAATTGAAACAAGATTTTCCAAAGTACTCAAATCCTCTTGCAATAAATACTAACATTTCCTTCTGAGTTGTTTGCTACGTCTGCAGGCTAGCTTTCAATGATTTATGAACAAAAAAGGTACCAAGGACCCTTTTGGACATGTAACACTTCCAATCTCATTACCATATAAGAAATACATTGCAACTTTGTTTCTCTTAGCAAAGTGAATAACCCTTAACACTTAAGACCATTAGACTTATGGAGTCTTTTCTGCTATTCAATGAGATCGTGGCTAATCTGATAATCCTCAAGTACACTTTGCCTTACTCCCATAACCTTGATTCCTGTACTAGTTTTTAAAAAAAATCTGTCAATCTTAACCTTGCTGACCCAGCCTCGACAATCCTCTGCAATAAAGAATTCCACAGATTTCACTACCTTGAGAGAAGAAATTCCTTCTCTCTGTGTTAAATATGTTACCCCTTATTCTGAGATTCATTTGTGGAGAAGACACGATTTATAAAGTCATAGAGTCATACAGCACGGAAACAGACCCTTCAGTCCAACCAATCCATGCTGAACATAATCCCAAACTAAACTAGTCCCACCTGCCTGCACCTGGCCCAAATCGCTTCAAACCTTTGCTATTCATGTACTTGTCTAAATGTCTTTTAAACATTGTAATTGTACCCACATCCCCCACTTCCTTAGGACTTTCATTTACCTTATTGGCCATTTCAGCCTTTCCTATGATGAGGTCTCCTGTATCTACCAGTAATGGACCCACGTTTGTAAACTTTTCCTATTTACATAACAATAGAAGTTTTGCAGTCCACTTTTTCTTTCTATTTTACATTGATATTCTAGTCTCTGTCTTCAATTTCTTGATCCTCCTTTGGAGAGTTCAAATTCTCCTAATCCGCAAGTTTACACTATTTTCAGCAACTTTAAGCTTCCAGCTTTTGTCCTTTATACTCATTTATGAGATATAGCTGTTGCTGGCTCACCTGTATTTGTTGTCCATTCCTAGTTGCCCTTGAGAAGGTAGTGGTGAGCTGACTCTTGAGCCATCCATTTGGTCTAGGCTAGGTGGATTGGTGAGCTGTGATATGGATGTTTAGATGCTTTTGTTATGGACCAGACTAGACCCACTCAGTATATTTTAAGAAGGTAGCTTAGAACCTAACTTTTCTTATTATAAAGGCAGATGTAAAGTGCCGTGTGACCAATCGCACTGCATCTGGTAAACTACTCAATGTTGAGCAAAACACAATTTATTCAAACACTACAGTTAAAATACAAACAAAAGAAAGAGGAATTTAGAATAACAACTATTGGAAAACTTAACCGAATAATAGAGTTAGTACCTATTACTAATTAACTGTTCCAATATAGTAACGTCCCATAAACACATCTCTTGGTAAAAACGCAAACTCAGACACAGATTCCCACATGCACTTTTCCAATCCAGGAGAAAAAAGAGTCCAGAGAAAATTCAGGGAAAGTAGCAGCTGGGAGACATTCACTGAAGCTTCCAACTCTTTTGCGACCCCAAAGAATTCTTATGTAGAAACCCAGAAATCTAGATCTAAGACTGCTGGCCACACCCATTCAGGCTGTTTCTATTGTTCCAACTGAAAAAAAAAAGTCAAGGCGTCACATGTTGTTTACTTAGGCAGTTTTCAGTACAAAGAACAAAGAAAATTACAGCACAGGAACAGGCCCTTCAGCCCTCCAAGCCTGCGCCGATCGAGATCCTCTATCTAAACCTCTCGTCTATTTTCCAAGGATCTGTGTCCCTCTGCTCCCTGCCCATTCATGTATCTGTCTAGATACATCTTAAATGACGCTATCGTGCCCGCCTCTACCACCCCCGCTGGCAACGCGTTCTAGGCACTCACCACCCTCTGCATAAAGAACTTTACATGCATATCTCCCTTTCCCCTTTCTTTTCCCCTCTCACCTTGAAACTGTGACCCCTAGTAATTGAGTCCCCCACTCTGGGGGGGAAAAAGCTTCTTGCTATCCACCCTGTCTATACCTCTCATGATTTTGTAGACCTCAATCAGGTCCCCCCTCAACCTCCATTTTTCTAATGTAAATAATCCTAATCTACTCAACCTCGCTTCATAGCTAGCACCCTCCATACCAGGCAACATCCTGGTGAACCTCCTGTGCACCTTCTCCAAAGCATCCACATCCATTTGGTAATGTGGCGACCAGAACTGTACGCAGTATTCCAAATGTGGTCGATCCAAAGTCCTATACAACTGTAACATGACCTGCCAACTCTTGTCCTCAATACCCCGTGCGATGAATGAAAGCATGCCGTATTCCTTCTCGACCACTCTATCGACCTGCGTTGCCACCTTCAAGGTACAATGGACTTGAACATCCAGATCTCTCTGTGTATCAATTTTCCCCAGGGCTTTTCGATTTACCACATAGTTTGCTCTTGAATTGGATCTTCCAAATGCATCACCTCGCATTTGCCTGGATTGAACTCCATCTGCCATTTCTCCACCCAATTCTCCAATCTATCTATATTCTGCTGCATTCTCCGACAGTCCCTTTCACTATCTGCTACTCCACCAATCTTCATGTCATCTGCAAACTTGCTAATCAGACCATCTGTACCTTCCTCCAAATCATTTATGCATATCACAAACAACAGTGGTCCCAACACAGATCCCTGTGGAACACCACTGGTCACAGTTCTCCATTTTGAGAAACTCCCTTCCACTACAACTCTGTCTTCTGTTG